GCGCTAAGGTTTTACGAAGCGGAGCACTTTTTGTTCATTGCAGAGACAGCATTCAACAAGGAAAGGCAATTAAGATTCACAAAATGGAAGGAAAGAAAGTTCAGAGCAGTCTGGTTGAAAACAAAAAAATGGGTAGAGGAGTCATTAGTGGAGTCCCTTTAAAAATCTCAAATGAAGAAATTCAAGCAAACATACGTGGAGCAAAAGTGAAAGAAATTAAACGTCTGCAAACAACAAGAAATGGAGAACGATGTAACAGCTTGTCAGTCTTGATTAAATTTGAAGGTGAATGTTTACCAAGTAAAGTCTACATAGGCTATATGAGCTATGATGTGAAACAATACATTCCTCCTCCGTTAAGGTGTTTTAAATGCCAGAAATTTGGACATGTAGCAGCAATCTGTAAAGGAAAACAACGATGTGGAAGATGTGCAGGTGAACATGAATATGGGAAATGTGAAAAAGAGGCAAAAATTAAATGTTGTAACTGTGGAGAAGAACACACTTCTGCTTACCGTGGATGTCAATACAGTAAAAGAGCAGAGGAAATCCAAAAAGTGAAACTCGCTCAAGGGATAACTTATGCTGAAGCTGTGAAAAGAATCCCAAATCAACCAGAGAAGCCAAAACCAACAGTGACATCAAATATAAAACCAAAAACTTGTGATGGATGCTCTAAAATACCTAATGATTCAATGATAGTGAACAAAAAGGATTTTGTGCTGTTTATGGTGGAAGTGATTAATTGTTCAGCTCAGACAGTAAAGAAAACTGAAAAGATTAAAATCATAGTGAGGGCTGCAGAAAAATATCTAGATGTTAAAGACCTTGGTTGGGAAGCTGTAGAAAATATGATAGGTAAAGGAGTAACACCAACTCAGTCAGAAGGTGCTACTTCCACATGGTCATAAACATATTTCAATGGAACGCTAGAAGTCTCATCTCAAATGGTCAAGATTTTAAACATTACATATCACAACTACAAGAAAAACCACATATCATCTGTATTCAGGAAACCTGGTTAAAACCAGAATTAGATTTTGTTTTACATGGGTACACTGCCATCAGAAGAGATAGAGGTAATGGAAGGGGTGGAGGAATAATGATCCTTGTACAAAATAATATAGGTTACAGTATAATCCATATAGGAAAAGAGCATGAATACATTACTATTAAAATATGGACAGGTAGGGATGAAATGATCATTATTAATTATTATAATCCATGTAAAGAATTAACTATTGAAACACTGAATATAGTTAGAGGACAGGAACAGGGGAAAATTGTTTGGTGTGGAGATTTTAATGCTCACAATAATCTTTGGGGAAGTGATCACACAGACATAAATGGCAGAAACGTAGAGGAATTCATTGATGATAACAGACTGGTGTGCATAAATAATGGAACAGGGACCAGATATAATATTACAAAGAACACAGAAACAGCAATAGATTTAACAGTCACCTCAAATAACATTGCAGGAATTACGCAGTGGGAAGTAATAAATAAAACATCACTTGGTAGTGATCATTATCCAATAACCATTAAAATAGGACTGGATGTTCTTAAAGGAAAAACATTTCGAGTACCTAGGTGGCAATTTAATAAAGCAAACTGGATCAAGTTTCAAAATCTGACTGAAATTAAATGTGGAGAAATTATTAGAGAAGATATTAAAGATATTGAAGAATTTAATGAAAAATTAACAACAATACTTATACAGAATGCAAATAAAGCAATACCTAAAAGTACAGGAAGTAGAATTAAAAAGAATGTTCCATGGTGGGATGAGGACTGTAAAAAAGCTATTAAAGAAAGGAATAAAGCATTTAAACAACTAAAAGTTCAGCATACAATTGAAAAGTTAATATTTTATAAAAGGAAACAAGCAATTGTTAGGAGAACAATAAGAAAAGCAAAAAGAGAATACTGGCAAAAATATTGCTCTACCATAGGGAGAGAAACTAAATTATCAGATGTGTGGGGGATGATAAAGAAGATGAATGGAATAACTAGGAAATATGAAATCCCAATAATTAAAAATGAAAACACTGTTGCAATAACTGATCTAGATAAAGCAGAATTATTAGTTAAAACACTGGTTAAAATACATAGTTCTGACAATATTTCAGCAAATGTTAGGGAGTTGAGGAGCAATATATTAAAAAACCATCCAAATATAGATAACAAAAAAACTGTCAATGGAGGGACGATGGATCTACCTATTACTTTATTTGAATTTAAAAGAGCGCTTAGTAATACTAATCAATCATCTCCTGGAAAAGACAATATTTGTTACGATATGTTAAAACATATGGGTGAAAATGCTATTAAAGCAATATTAATTTTGTTTAATTTAATTTGGGATAGTGGTAAAATACCAACTTCATGGAAAAATTCAATAATAATACCAATATTAAAACCAGGTAAAGATCCTTCAAATCCTTCCAACTATAGACCCATTGCTTTGAATTCACAATTGGGGAAAACAATGGAAAAAATAATAACTAAAAGGCTATATAGTTATTTAGAATTTAATAATCTGTTATCACCAAATCAAAGTGGATTCAGGAAAGGGAGAAACGCAATGGACTCTATTTTATGCCTCGAGTCAGAGATAAGGAAAGCACAAGCTAACAAAGAATCAGTTATTGCAGTCTTTTTCGATATAGAAAAAGCTTATGATACACTTTGGAAAGAAGGTTTATTAGTAAAACTGGAAAAACTTGGGGTAAAAGGAAAACTATTTAATTGGATAAGTAATTTTTTGTTTGAAAGAACAATAGAAGTGCGAGTGGGAAAGGAATTTTCAAGTAAATATATTGTGGAGAATGGTACTCCTCAAGGTAGTGTTTGTAGCCCAGTATTATTCTTGATAATGATCAATGACATATTTGATAAAATAGATCATGGAATCAGTAAATCTTTATATGCGGACGATGGAGCTTTATGGATTCGTGGTCGTAATGTAGAATATCTCAGAAATAAAATGCAAAAGGCAATCAATGAAGTTGAAATATGGTCCAATAACTGGGGTTTTAAACTTTCAACAACAAAATCTCAAGTTATCTGCTTCTCTAGAAAACATAAGTCTATCTCCTTAAAGTTATATGGTCAAAACCTTGAACAGGTTAAGGATATAAGATTTTTAGGCATGATTTTTGATGAAAAACTTACATGGAAGCAACATATAGAAAAAATAAAAATAAAATGTAAAAATGTTAATAATTTATTGCGTTGTTTAACAGGAAGGGAATGGGGAGCAAGTAGGGAAGCATTAGTAAATATATATCAATCACTTATGAGATCAACAATGGACTATGGCAGCATTAGCTATATGGCAGCAGCAGAAACTCATTTAAAACTTCTGGATATAGAACAATCAAAAGTACTCAGAATATGCAGTGGAGCATTTAGAACATCACCAGTTTCAGCTCTACAAGTTGAAATGGGGGAAATGCCTTTACGAATAAGAAGATTGAAACAAATGTTACTATACTGGATTAATATTAAAGGACATGACCAAACACACCCAGTTCATAATATATTACAGGAATGTTGGGAACATCAAAAAACAAATATTTATAGTTTTGGCTGGATAGGTAATATCAAAGCTCACTATGCAGGGTTGCATGAAATAGAATTAAGTCCAACAGTTAATCAATCGTGTATCCATCATTGGTTATATATTTATCCTTCTGTCGATTTATCATTACATAAATTAATCAAAAATAAAGGGAAAAATATTTCAGAAAACTTCTTAGTGCAACAATTCTTTCATAAACAACATATGGATAAAATTATAGTATTTACAGATGGATCAAAAGATCCAGAATCAGGACAAACAGGAGCAGCAGTGTACATCCCAAATCTAAATATAGAGATGAAGAAAAGAACAACAAACAACTTGACAGTATACACAGTAGAATTATTAGCTATAATCATGGCTTTAGAATGGATTGAAAAATATAATGGTCAAAAATATGTCATTGCATCGGATAATATGGCAGTCTTATTAAGCATCAAATCAAGTAAATCAGAAAGACAAGACCTAATTGACAGGGTTTACCACATTCTATATAAACTTCACTTGAGGGAAATATCTGTAGATTTTGTTTGGGTTCCAGCACATGTGGGAGTGGAAGGCAATGAAGGTGCAGACATTCTTGCTAAACAGGCAGTAAAATCTAAAAATGTAAACTATGAAATTCCATTAAGTAAATCTGAGTGTAAAATGATAATAAATAGATATGTTACGAATATATGGCAGGATAATTGGGACATAATTGATACAGGACGACATTTGTATAACATTCAGAAAAAGGTAGGAGGCACAAAGAAAACGGGAAGAAACAGAAAAGTAGAAACAATAATGACCCGAATCAGAATAGGACATACGGGTCTCAATAGCTCTCTTAAAGTAATAGGAAAACATGCCACGGGGTTATGTGATAACTGTAATCTCCCTGAAACAGTAAAACATGTTTTTATGGAATGTTGTGGATATGAATTAGAAAGAAGACATTTCCAAAAAGAAATAACTAAAATGAATATAAAATTTACAATTAATGATATCTTTAGTAGTGATGCTGGTAAAGTCAAAGATCAAATTATTATTTTCTTGAAAAAAACAAATTTAATGGAGAGAATTTAGATGAAATATAGATGTGAAGTTATTTCACAGAATTATTATTATTATTAATATTATTTATTTATATATTTTACATATTATTATTAATTTATTTTGTTTATTTATTTATCTATCTATTTTTATTTTATTTTATTTAATATTACTATTATTATTATTATTGGTTTTTTTTTTTTTTTTTTTTTTTTTTTTTTTTTTTTTTTTTTTTTTTTCTCTCCTGTATATCTTCTGCCCACACTCCAGCTCAGTAGGTGGCGGTAATGCACCTTACAGTTGGTCTGCCAACCGCCATAAAACAATACTAGAAGAAGAAGAAAATAACCCTTTTTGAAACCCCTCCGTGTCTGAGGTGAATGGTATCTTCCAAGATGGCAGCCTTCGTAAGCAAATGCTGTGTAGCCTCAGCTATCAAAGTTAAATGTTTATCTCCTTCTCTTACAGGTAAGCATACTTCACGGCTAATTTACTAAAACATGATAATTTGATATGACTTCATGTTCCGTATTTTTGGTGGGTGTTTTTGACCGTTTAAGTTATAACTGCTCAGTGTCCGCTGGTCGTTAGCTAACTGCTGCTAAACAAGGCTAATGTGCAAGCGGCTGTTTGTCTTTCAGCCAGACGATGGTTGCTCTCAGCGGCTTACACAGACACCAAAGTGTGGGAGGCGAGAGAAAAAGAGCCACAAAACCTGGGTAAGTACGCACAACACAGTTATGAGTATAAAATCCCACGTGAAACAGCTGCATTACAGACTTGTTGTCTGTTTTAATTGTCTTAACACAGCACTGTCAGTCCAAAGAATTATGTGGTTGGTATAGACATAATTAGATGTCTAGCTTTGTTTTTGCAGATATAGGGTAAATATTATAAATCAAACCATAAAAATACATTTGCATTTTTAAGTGAAAAGAAGCTCATAAAGTCAGTATTTGGTTGAAAAGGTACAGTATTCAGTACTTTTATTTTCAGTCCAAACAGCACTTTACAACTCATTTTGTTTCCTTACCCATCCACACGCACAGCACTACTACATCTCTACAAAGCATATCAGAATACACAATTTTATAGAGTCTAATCAGTGCTTCAGATCACATTCAAGGGCTTTGTTTCCCAGGGACACTTTCACGTGACCTCATATTAATGGAGTAGAACCTACGACTCGTATGACTGCTCTAAACACTGAGCCACAGCTGCCCCATGTTTATTCATCCATGGGTTTTAAGAGCTTATTTTTTATAATTTATGTTGTAGCAACTGACAAGTCACCTCAGTGCAGAAAATGTAGGCATTCTGTGATCATATTAAATTATACTATTTTACTACTAAGTACAGGTTGTATGCGATGTGAAATATCAATATATTAATCAGAATAAGCTTTATTATCATTGTACCGAGATACAATGAGAGTATGTCCGTACAGTCGTCCGAAAGATGGGCGGAGTGCACGTTGTTGCTGCTGCTCTTTAAGAGTGCAGCCTCTTATCCTTTTCAGAATATTAAATATTAATAATCAATTATCAAGATAGATGCCTTTATTTTCACCACTAAGCTATTTAAACAGCCATTAAATGTGTCATTAAAAAAGATTTATTATAGAAGCAAATTGTATGTTTTCTGAATTAAATAATTCAGAACTATAGGATGTACTGAAAAAGTATTTCAAGTTCAAGTGGAGGTTCTTCACATATAATTTAATGTTAAAATGTTAGTTTAATTCTGTAAAATCATCAGATAAAATTTGGAAAGAAATGTGGGTGTCACAGCACTGCTTTTGTAACTGCCTGCCTGTGGGGGGGTGGGGGTAGACTTTCTTTAAGGCTTTTTAAACTGTTAAAGTTAGTGCAGAGACAGCGTCACATTACAGTATTATATTTTTGCAGTTTTTTATTCTTTGTTTTTTTTATTTGTCTTTCTAATATTCGGTTAACATTGTAAAATGTTTACAAGAAATTAAACAAGTTTGTAAAATAACAAAAAAATGAAGATGGGACACATTTTGCATAATTTACATACTAAAATATAATAAATCTCAACTTTAGTCCACATGACATGCACCATCAGTTTCATTTGTAGCTGATATTACATGCAGCAGACCAATATTTGATGTTAGTTTATTGCACTCAGTAAACACTAGGTGTCGCTGCAGCTTCACGATGTCTTATTTAGTGGCGTCTATTTAAAGTAAAATGGGTATAATTTGGACTCAGTCTAAGCATGCTTATACAGTAAATATATCTAAATGAATAAGATTAGTGACATGTTTTGTACCTTTATGAGTGTATAACATTTATACCACTCTGAATAAATAAAATAATTAAAATAAGAAGAAAAAAATGAAATTATAATCATGTAATAGTATTGTTGATGCTTTCTAATTCCAGCTGTTATAGCTAATCTCATGGACAGAACATATGAAAGGAAGTTTCCAGTCAGCTCTCTAACCATTTCACGGGTAAGCTGTATTTACAGTTGGATAAGCTGTATTTTTATTTCATTGTTTTTTGTTTCTATGGTAAAAACAAAAAATGTAATTTTTGTATGTGTTCTCCATTTCAGTTTGTTGACAACATATCATCCAGAGAGGAAGTAGATCAAACAGAGTACTACCTGTACAAGTACGAGCCACCAGTTTTCTTCTGCTTCATCATGTCTGCACTGCATAACTTTTTTCTTTAAATCTATTTTATACTTTTTTTTTCATTTAGGTACCAACTTGTATGTTGTTCTTGGAATGCGTTGTCTGTTTGGTTTGTCTGTTTTGGTTTATGTTCAGTCACATGGTTCTCTTTGTTCGGTGCAACTCCAGACCTTTCCTGTTTACTCCTTCCTCTGGAATCTGCGCTCGTTCTTGCAATCACTTGATTTAGTTTGTTTCCAATCACACCCCTGGTCAGGAGGTTTATTTTTATTATCCGATGGGAGTTAAAACTCCACTGCTAATTTGGAATGATGGGAAAGGGTACTTTGCAGTTTTATCCAGTAGGTATTGGTTAGATTTTAATAATAAAGCCATCATGGATATTGCTTGCTCTTGTTTTTTTACCAGAGGCAATAATGTCCAACAGTCTCATCCTGTGACTGATGGCTCAATATGATTAAGAAACTACTATATATATATATATATAATTTTATGTATCTATTTTCTTTCTTTCTTTTTTATTTTCAAGGTTTCGTCACAGTTCAAACTGTTGGTACTTGCGTGACTGGACCATTCACTCTTGGATCAGACAGTGTCTGAAATTTGGAGCCAGAGAAAAGGCCCTTTACACGGTTAAAAACAAGGTACACCCTTCAAAAAGTTCAATTTAGCTTCTAGAAAATGATGTAAAATTAGCTCATTAGATGTTCAGGTAACTAAGACCAGCTATTACTTTTTACAACAGACTTTTTCATCTTTAACTAGGAGGACTTTTCAAACCATTTTCAGCTGCGTTAATAACTTGAATCATGTTTGGCATCTTTACCGAGAATATATTTTCTTTAATGATCAAGTTTATCATTTATTCATCCCTGAGTTATTCTAAAATGAGAAACGACACAGAAATGAGTGTTAATGTTGAAGATGCATAAATGATCATTTATTTGTTTTTAGGTGATTTGCACAATTTTTAACCAAACCACACATTGTAAACAGTCTAGACTAATGCCATTACGTTCGCCCACCATTAATGGCAGCCGGTGATCACAATGTGTGTTTACAATGTACGTGCAGGTCCAGTTTGGAATATTTCCAGACAACTTCACCTTCAACCTGCTGATAGATTCCTACATTAAGGATGGAGACATTAAAAGTAAGACTTTGAAACTTGTTTTGATCCAAGCATTTGGTCTGTAAAAAGGTCATGCAGACTCAAATACAATTCCTGCAAGATTCTGACCACATTTTTGTTGACTTTGAGTTTTGCCCCAAAATGTTCAGAATTTGAAAAGACTAAAATCAGATTGTAGATAGGGTTTTTATTTTTTGCTTGTTTTCTAAGAAACAAATAAAAGGGAAGCCTGCTTTTTCCACTCTGTGATAACAGCAAGCCAGGCAGTAAACAATACAACATTGTAGAGACTTTGTTTTACTACTGCAAACAGAATTTTGGCCCACATTTGTAAAGCAACTGAATATTATTTATATATGTTGATCCTTTAGAGCTTGCTGTTTCTAAAAGCAAAAGTAAAAACTTAAAAGATGCAGTAGTGTGCTGGGAGTTGCATGTTTTTTTGTTGTCCTGTTCTTGTGAGTCACATGCAATGCCTTGCCAAATACTTAGTGTGCATATTCACAAAACAAAAGATAGTAATGAAATATAATGCTTGGATTTTAAAACATATATTACTCCTACAGTACTGTCAGCCCTAAAGTTTCTACAATGAAATCTCTGATGAAATAGAAGTATTCTAAGACAAGAAGGCAAATCGCCAATTTTAGCAAAGGTTTTAGGGAGAAAATATCAATGATTTGCTGCGATTGTACAGGTGCATTCTCAGTGGTTGAAGAGGTGATGCTTCAGGAGGCCTTTGACCTTCCCTCCACTCATGTCCTGTCTCTGTACACTCTGGGTCATTTCCTCGCAGCCAAACCACAACTTACTGTGAGTGACAAGAATATTCTTATGCTACAATATGCAAACTTATCACTGGGGCAGTAAATGCCATGAAGATCCCTTTTGAGATGTTGCATCATTTGTAACAGACCCCTTGTTCCTGCTGTTCAGGTGTCAGAAGAGCGGGCATTGGGGGCGTCGCTGCTCCTCTGTGGACTGCAGCAGGACGACACTATTGGTCTCAGTGCTCAAATGCTTGGGAACGCTCTCCTAGGTTTGTTTTTGACTTTATTTACCTCAGTTCTATCTACAGCAGTTTTTAAAAATTGTTAATTTTATTTTCACAGGAAAGATGGAGATGTTAAAGGGCATTCATGCAGTTTTTAAAGGCATGCCTCTCTCCTGGGCTCGAGGGTATCTGGGTCAGGCGCTGGCTGTGATGGAGAGGGTTGTGGCTGCAGGTTCTGGGGATATCAAACTGACTAAAGACACAGTAAGAGTACACAAGAAACTTTTCAACGATGTATAAACTACTGCGTGAACTCTAATATTGTGCATTTCTGAAGAAAAACCTGAACGATGAGTGACAGTTGTGGTCTGATTCACCAAAGATACTTAACTTTTTTTTGTCTGAGCTGTGTTGATTCAGTTTCCAGGGTCAGTTTTGAAATTAAAAGCGACCTCGTTAGTCTTCTCAGGTACTAACCAGATTGACTGATCCACAAATATCAGCATTTCGGAGTTTAGTGTTTGTTCTGCCGGCTATGTAAATAAACTCTGAGCTGGTTATTTTGAGAGCAACAGTAAACCTGAGACTTCCTGCAGCACTCATTCTGGACCGTGTGTTGCTACAAGTTTCTTAAGTCTCTCAAAACAGACTAAAGACTCACTCTCCCTAACAGCCTCGTCTGTAGGGTATCAGTTTTGAAAGCATCTCTTTCCAATAAACACAATGTGGACAAATTAAGCCGGAGTGGTAGGGCTACTGCTAAATGTTTAAACAGAAGCTTGTATTTCATTAGTCAGAAACGGAGTCATGCGCTGCCAGAGTGATCCTTTCCTCAACTTTGCATGTTCATCATGAGTGGCTTTAATGAGAATTTACCTGTGGTGGTGGGACAGTTTATCAGTTTTCCAACTTCCTCGCTTGGTCACAATATTAGCAGAAAACATCCTCTGGGTGAACTTTTAATTAACTCTTTGTAAAAATGACAAACTTACTGCTGCACTTCATTATATTCTCAGCCATGCAAGCCTGGTCAGATGTCACAAAAATATAAACCGACGTCTGGATTTACCAATTGACCAGATCCAACAACATTTACAGCATGTTGCCACTTACCTTGAGTTATATGTTGTGTGTCCTTTATGACAGGTGCTCCTTTATTTATTACTTTTTTAAAAACATGGAATAATCTACAGACTGCTGATGCATAAAAGTCACTGCAGCAAAAATGCTTGTTCTGTACTGGCAGGAAAACATGTTAAGTCTCCCACATACTCGGATGTACTTCACTCTGCAGAGATCTGCACAGACCAGATTAGACTCAACGCGGACGTCCACAAGCCTTGTCCACGCAAAGATCAATTTTTATGTACGCGTACTCCGTTTCGCACAATAAACTGCTCGGCGACGGACTGTTTTGTATGTGACACCAATGTATTAAATTCCCCTTCTTCATCCGTGGTCTGGTTTAATGGCCTTTTCTTTTGATTTTGCTGAGAGGCAAGTGATCTCTTCCTCCTAGTCCATTGACCCCATGACTGAAATTGTGAGAAATTAAGGAATTTGTCACAAGTGAATTAAAATCAGGCCCGGCGTGACTGCGGGAGAGTCTGGAGATTTCCTTGTGAGCCGGTCTGATGTGTGGGCTGCAGGGCCAGCGCTCCCCGTTTTTTTTTTTTTTTTTTTTAAGACTTTTTTATTCACAACATATAAACACAGAACACTGCTGCTGCTGCTGCTCCTGGGCTGCCAGCTGCCCATGGCCGCCAGCAGCTCATTTTTATTTATTTTTTTGCGACTTGTCAATCAATCAAATAGGCGTGTCAGCAAATAACCAATCAGCGACCTCAATTTGTCCCAAAGGTAAACGCCCCTTGCCTGCGGAGCTGGCTGCAGCCCGTCAGGGTGCATGCTCGAGTATGAAGTCTCAACCCTCTGCGGACAGTGCGTGCAGTGTCCATGCGGCTCACGGAGTACACACAGTACGCCCGAGTATGTGGGAACCTTTACTGTGACAAGAAGGGATGCACGATAATGGATTTTTTCCGATATCCGATATGTTAAAAGTTATTTGGCCGATAACCAATACCAATATTAACTTTGCATCTAGAGCTACTGATCTTTGGTGGATCCTTGGTGTGAATTTGAGCTTTTATCTAAAATAATAAACTGCTTTTTCATCTGTGTAATATTTCTAAAAATCACCTTTTATATCAGTGAGTTATTTTGATAGAATGGCCAATGTCCGATATTTAACTTTATCGCCAATATCGTCCGATACCATGCCGATAATATCATGCATCCCTAGTGACAAATGGTGCACTGAAATGTGCACGCTGAGGAGCCAGTGTAAAACAGATTAGAGTTGAAAAAAATTTTTTCCGTAAATAAAAATACAAGAAGTTCTTCACCAGAATTACTTATTTGGGTTTATAGAAATATTAATTTCTTTGAATTGTTGTGAATTTGATGTCAATAATAGTTCTTCTGTGTTTTCTGGTCTAAGAAGGATTCTGTGTGGCCTTAGTTGTGCCTCTTAGCCCTACACACAGCAGACAGACTTGTTTATCTCCACACACGTTTAATCTGCTCAGACTGAGCACACGCTGTCATCTTGTTGTTATTTTTACATGTATGCACACATACCCTGCTGGTTGTTGTACCTTTAATCTAGCCTGCACTGTCCAGTTCAATAGTTTGAGCTTTGTCCACGTTTAATGAGATTTTCAAGAGCCTGGAGCACTCGGGGTGTTCGTGAGAATCACTGCAACAGGAACCAAGCAGCCCATGTCAGACAGCGGTGCAGCAATAATGGAGACAGAGAAAATAACCCAGTGAGACAGAGAGGATGTATTACATCTCAGGTTGTGGTGACTGCTGCCTCGGGTCACAGTACATCATCCTTTTCCTAAGATTAAGAGCTGAGGCGTCATTGCATGTCTGCTCTGTAATCAAATATTTATGAGTAGAAAATATTAATGATAGAGACTTTTAGGTTTTGTCTGGTTTGTTATATTTTTCAGCTCGATTACGTGAATGACTTGCTGCAGGAGCTATCCTCAACCTCGGAGACGGATGAGTCTGGAGAGGAGTCTGGAGAGGAGTCAGGCGAGGAGTCGGGCGAGGAAGAGAAGAAGAAAGTGGAAGAGGTGGATGAAGATGATCTGGCTGAGAGGGCTAACCTTCCTCAGTATGTCATCAGATTTAAGGTTTGTTGTGCTTTTGTCATTTGCAGCTGAATTTACAGAAGTTTTCCTTGTTGGGACAAGCCAGCAAACACAGCTTCCTGTTATGTCTGCGTTTGTAACTGAGGTTTTCTGAGGCTCGCTGCGGCCTTCTAAAGTGACGTATTTCAAGCTTTACTTAAACATTTTTGCCTTGTAAGCCAATTGTAAACTTTACATCATAATTTTAAACTATTTAAACACAGTGGTCTGCTTTGGAGAATACACTGTTGACCTTTAGGACAGGCCATCTGTCAGTAATGCCTTTTTATTTTCTGGCTTGTACAAATGTATATTTAGTTTGTCAATGTATAAATGCATACATTTGTATTTATAAATTGTATTAATACAACAGTGGCCATGTCTTTTGCACGTATATGCAGATTTAATCATCTTTGTTTTAATAATAATTATAAAACAAAGCATGAATTTACAGTATCTAAGTTGCTACTTCAGTTTAGCTGGTATCCTGTTTTTTTTTTTTTTTATGTTAAAATGATCATTTAGGAATTTGACTAAAAACTAGTTGCACCGAGTCTGATCTTTACCTGACAAATTAATTTATGTGAGCAGCCTCGGTGTCTGCAGACATGCAGACATTCAGGCCTACATTCACTATAATGCACAGCGCATGACTTTTGCTCTACTGTGAGAATTATTTGAACATTACTCTCTTCACATTATGCACATTCTGTAATTTTCCAGACTCTGTGCAGGAGTGACCAATAGTCTGATGACATTTTCGCCCTTGAATGCAGACGCTTTACATAACATTTCAGGATTGCAATGCATGCATTAAAACTGGAACAAATTGAGGACAAAAGCAATACTTTTTACAGTGATAATTAAGTGCACTTTTCTATTAATAATATAATAATAATGTTCGGGCTGCTGTTGATACGCCATATTGTTCATATTATTAGTGTTTAGCGTATACCTTGGTCTTTTAGCATACTGTTTGGTGTTCGTTTAGCGTATATCTTAGATCCTTATATACCGTTTCTGTTTATACTTTATATTCTTGCTATTTTTTGGTGTAACTGAGACCCTGAGTATATAATTTCGTTCCACTTCATATACCACATGCAAATGACAGTGAATACTTACTTGAACTTGAATAAACTGATAAGTAAACAAATGTGCTGCAGGTAAGGTGGCATTTTCATTCCCAGTTTTTTTTTTTGCAAATTCTAGCATCACATTTAGATTTCAGAAACCTGAAAGACAATTTTTCTTTTTTTTTCTTGATTATGAAAGGGGTTTTTTGTGGGGGTGGGGACGTACATTTAGTTAACTCATGGAGCAGAAATGTAAATAAAAGCAATAAATGCTTTTTATTTTTGGCACTACTGCTGTGAATCAGACAGGCTGGCAGCTACACAATGTTTTGCAGCATTTAACTGACTGGTGCCAGTAGCAGATAAACACTTCCTTTGTTTCACTCAGAATTTATATGACCTATTCATACATGCTTTTCTTTATTTTCTTGTAATATAACTTGTCTTACAGGAAGGTAGTGTCCAGTTTGACAGCATTTAAAATGAAGGATGTTTAATATTTTTTGCCAGTGCATATAGTTTCACCCAAGTCATTTAAATGCAGTGATTAGATTATTTTGTTTCTATACAGTAGATTTTTGTCTGCCTTCTTCTGCAGGAGTTGAGCAGTCAGCTGGAGATTCAGGGTAAAGTGGAGCCCGCCTCTCTCCAGACTCTAGTGACCACACTGGCCCAGCAGAGCCTGGCTGCAGCAGAGAAGCAGGACCTGGAGCAGTATGAGAGCCAGATGCAGGACTGGGATGCCGAGAAGAGGCAGCTGAGCCAGAGGGAGAAGGAAATGAGGGAGAAAGCTGAACAGGAAAGACAGGAGCGGTTAGCTGCCAGGGCTGCAGCTAAGTCAGCTTAGAGACTGATAAATGAGACGTACTGCTCTTTTAATGGATTAACATTACACCTGCACATGTTACCGGTGACTCCTGTATATATCATTTACTGTGCTCCTAAATAAGTTGTCCAAATAAAATGTTGTTCAAATAAAACTGATCTTGTTTGTATCGAAAGTTCAGTGTTTTTGTTTGTAGTTGTAAAAATATAGTACGTTACACAAACAGGCACTTTGAGCTTGATTACCAAATAACTTTATGTAAGTGAGGGGAGAAAAGGAAATGGAAATGTGTACCATCCTTGCACCCCCCCCCCCCCCCACCAAGTCCCTCCGTACTCAAGCTCAAAGTGCCTGTTTGTGTAACTTTTTTTTTTTTT